GGATAAGGAGGGGAGGCGCATCTGTCTTCGAAATGTCATTTGTTTGCTAGAGTTCGAGCGAGACAACCTGTGTATGTACTGTTGAGGGAACGCTAGATTGACTGGGAGATGTGGCTGGTCAAGAATGTGTATACATTTACGTCCGTGCGTGCGTCCGTGCATCGGTTTATGTTAGCACGAATTTGTCCACAATGGTTGAATGATGTGAATGATTCAGCCTTGGGATAGGGGATGGGCTGACTACTCCCCGGATGAATGACGATGGTGCTCGATAAACAGATGTGCTGGCTACATTCGATTCGGACAGTCGTCTAACACGGCGGTAAATACAAAGTGGAATGGGAAGTGTATGCATAATTGGTCACAAGAAATGAGTGTGACGTTAGTTATGGATCAGGACTGATATCACCAAGTTGGTCGTCAAACTTCTACCAGGATACATGTTTTTAGTGCCTTTATTCTCACTCACTTTGAAGGGGGACAAATTTTGTTTCATTGACTGGAAATACATGCTCAGATAATATTCACCCGCTTGATCCCACATTAGGTAAATTTCTATCCGTTTAGTAGAAATGAGAACAAGTACAAACATTTACATGCCTTCACAACTGCGTACCCTTAGCCTGCCATTCCCTTTATTAGTCTGGTTTCCGATACAGAAATCACCGCTCAAACACCGAGATTAAAATGATTCGGAAATGATCCGAAACCACCCGTTCCTACATTCATGTATCTTGCCTTAGTTTTCACTTGTTTCTTCGTTTGCAAACGTACCCAGTAAAATGAAATATTGAATAAAGCACAATGCAACTTTCAGGGCGTGAAAAATTGCGAGAACCCACAAACAAATGTTGTAGACATATTCGGAATTTCGAATGAGGCAATCAAAATCGCAGGTAAGGTGAAAGATATACCACACCATTCTCGTTTAGCGACGGGTCTGTAAAGTGCCAGATGATTGAGGTTTTCTAACGTAGAACGTTTTTTGCTTATTGGTACTTGTAATTTATCCATCGAATGATGAAACTATCCTTAGGTAATCATGGATCAGAGCTAATTGGGTGTCCTGAACTCATTTGACGCGATGCGCTTGAGACAGGGACCTGTGTGAGTTTGATTTCTGCCCATAGGTGATTAGAATTCGAGTTAAACCCCAGTTTTTCTACTGTTTCAGTTTCACTTTCCATAAGAAAGGAACCTGCACTTCCGTGTGCTGCTTTTGTTCATCCTCGGAGTACAAATTTTGTCAACCGACCGGAGAAAGCAAATGAAGGTCTCAAAGATAATGGCACCAATGGAGTGCGGGTGATCATTTGGTTATGATCACCATCATATCAAACCGGAAATCATGAGTTGTCAACCCATCCCCAGCACCCAAAAATCTACCTTCTGTGTGCCATCAGGAGCTGCAAGAATGACTGCAAACTCCCACTTCGTAAAACTTGATTTTCAAATAGAATTCAATAAAAGAACAAACCTAACATATCATTAAAATTCTTGTCACGTTTAAAGATATTGAAAGAAAGTGAATTCTTTATAGCAACCGATCATATCTCCCAGTACTGAGAGTTCAACTCATGTTCAGTCAGAAAATGATCAGGAACATTTATCCTTTGGAAATACCACCACTGACTCCGACAATTAAAGTTACTCATAAATAAGTCTGATCACAGCGTTACTGACGCGGAGCTCTCAAATAATCCAGTGTTCATCAAACTGAACACTCATCCCGATAATGAACTTTTCCAGACGGAACTTGAAGTAATTCCAACTGATATCTGCAATGGGCACATTATGGTAAAACTTTCAACTATTAGAGTTTGAATAATAGGTTCGAAATCCTCAATCACATCGTTTTGTTTGAGGATATAGCACGGGGCACATCACCTATAAACACATCTGAAGTGAGTAAATACTATGATCACATGTACTCTCGCCATCACTTTTTGTGAGAATAATGTGAGCTTTTCACATTTCAAACCAGAGTCTGCACAATTAATATTTTTGTAAACTAACTCAAAGTGTCAATAGGAATGTTTTTCCCGGTTCCACGAGGTACTTGTAAGCTCCGTTTTTGTTTATTTTATAATATTGGGCTTTTTCTAAGTCAGTGGTAACTTACGACTGCTTACGTCTGAACGCACAGACACTGGATACAGTCACTTAGGATTAATCGGCCGATACGCACAACATAATATTTCATTCTATCCCTAAAATTAACCATATATGAATATTCTTTCTTAAATACACTTCAATCACACGTATCTGGATAAAAAACACTTTTTTGGTGTTCCAATATAGTATTATTTTCAGTCATGCACAAATCTAGTGGAACTCCTGAACAAGAAAATGTTGAGTTACCTCACCATACCAAGCTTGCAAGGTTTCACTTAAGGTCAACCATTGTGTTATTTATGTTGGCTCAGACAAACGGTATTTTGAAGAAAATAAATGTTAGTAGCTAATGTTTAGGTCAGAAATAAAGACAGCCCGACAATTAGTGTATTTTGCGAACAGCTGAAACTCCTGGATTGACGATGTTATTAACCAAAGCGGAAACTCCAGGTGTTATCAGTAATGACAATCTTGTAGTACACATTTAAGTAAGTTCACAGAATTCAGCAATAAACTTGATCGATTAGTCCATCCTTTGGTTGCCGTAATACCTTTACATTTGTATATTAATCAGTACTCCTCGATGGCATTTGGATATAAGCTTAACAAAGTCTCGTCCGTTTCATTCCTCATCATTCCAAACCTCATTTGATATGGATGTTTTGCTTAAAAATCCGATGTGTACAAACGAAAGCACAATTAGAAAGCAATCCACTGAGGACTGAATAAACACATTTTATAGCCGGTTACA